TCTGAATTTGAATTTGAATTTTTGACACGTTTCCAGCTGTTAGTATCATGGTTGCTAGGCAACCTGGGAAGCGCGGGGGAGAGCCCATGTGTTTGCAACAAACTTGCCGTTTATTTTGCAAATTGAGCTCAACACTGCCGCTAGCGTCCTGGATTTGAAGTTTGCACATGTTTTGGATTTTGCATGTGTTTTGGATTTTGTACGTGTTTTGGAGTTTGTGTGTGCTATTTGGAATTTGTAAGTGTTTTGGAGTTTGTACATGTTTTGTCTCTAGGGGCCACCGTAGGGAGACAGCTTATTTATTAGGATGTTTTACTTTCTGCACAGATGTTTCACTTTAAAAACTTTCCAGCGGCTCACAAAATACTCCCCACCCCCCTTACTGAATGTGAAACATCTGTAGGAAGATCAGCTTAACACTGAGGAGGAGAGATAATTTGGAAGCTACAGAGCAGCGAGTGTGACATGACTGATGACATGTTGTTGTACTGATGGAATTAATGTTGTGGAAATGCACTTTACATTGTATTTAGACTGTAAGTTCCTGCAGTAAATGTAACTCAAGCTAATCCTTAATGTTTATAATCAGTCTTTATGAGGAATAATGTTTTAAAGACAAACCTGACAGTAGCTGTAATACTGGCTTGTATGAGGATTTGCATCAATTTTGCCACTTTTATACAATGAACACATTACTGGTGTAGAATTAGTATAAAACCTGGAATTTGGAGACAGATGAGGTCAAATCTGAGAGAACTTTGTAATCTGAGTGTGTCTAAATGACTGATGACTAAATAAACCACTTATGATGAACCCGCTGATGTCTTTGGTTCATATATTAGCCAGAAGTCCTGCGTAAACACTGGGAATATACACTCCTTATTAGGTACACCTTGATATTGTAGTTTGGACACCCCTTTACCTTCCAAACTGCTTTAATTCTTTGCGGCACAAATGAGCTTTGTGACATTTTGCGTTATCCTGCTGGAAGCAGCCATCAGAAGATGGTACATTGTACTTATAAAGGGATGGTCATGATAAACAACAATACTCAGGTGGCCTGTGGCGTTTACATAATGATCAGTACATACTGAGGGGCTCTAAGTGTGGCAAGAAAATATCCACAACACTATTCCACCACTACTATCACCACCATCAGTCTGAACCATTGATCAGAGACAGGTCGGATCCATATTTTCACGTTGTTTACACTCAATTCTGACCGTTTCATCCAGACACCACAACAGAATCCAGACTAATCAGACAAGTCAATGTTTTTCTAACATCCATCCATCCATCCATCCATCCATTCGCTTCCGCTTATCCTTTTCAGGGTCGCGGGGGACGCTGGAGCCTATCCCAGCTGTCTAACATTCTGTGCAAATTGTAGCCTCAGATTCTTCTTATTATTTGAGAGGAGTGACACCCTGTCTTCTGCTGCTGGCATTAACAAGGTATTTTCACCCAGAGAACTGCCACTCTCTGGATATTTTCTCTTTTTCAAACCATTCTCTGCAGACCCTAGAGATGGTTGTGCATTTAAATCCCAGCAGATCAGAACTTTCTAAAATACTCAGACCAGCCTGTCTGACAACACAAAAACCATGCCACATTCAAATTCACTTTATGACCTTTCTTCACCATTCTGATGCTTGGTTTGGATTTCAGCAGGTCATCTTGATTATGTCTACATGCCTAAATGCACTGGATTGCTGACACGTAGCTGGCTGATTTAGATATTTGCATTAACATGTAGTTTGTTGGGTGTAATAAAGCGGCTGATGAATGCAAATGGGTTTTTTTCATAAGAGCAAAACATATGTCTTCCTTCATTAGAATAAAACTTATAAAATTAAATGAGAGTGAGAAGTGCTGATCTAGTTCACAGCTGTGGGATTAAGTGACAGATGCCCTGTTTTTCTTCAGGCTGACACACACTCACACTGACTGGAAAACACACTGACGTGTACCACATTTAGATCGGTTTATTAGGACAAAGCTGTCTCCTTATTCAGTGGGGGAAAAAACGCCTTCCACCAGTGATGAGTTAGGAAGCAGTCAGTGTCATTCTACGGTGTATTAACTGCAAATTGATCAATAACAAACGGACACTTTGATAGAAAATGTTAAGCTGAACCAACTCTGCAGTGTTTTGATCAAATTGCCACCATCATCTGTTTTCACCTAAACAGGGGGTGATACAGAAGTCCCACCTGCACTTGCAAGTACAGGCGTAGCATTAGCAGTAAACAGGATGTACCACGCTGTGTGGGCCTGTGGACCCCGTTTCGGCTTTTCTTAGTTTAGTTGACCTTAGAATGAAGACGGGGAAACGGGAGGCTATAAATTTAATCTGTAGCAACATCTGTAGTGAAAATAATTTTCGATTTTGGAGGAAGAGCATGCTGCTATTTTTGTTAAACAGGTGCTAGAAACTGTAGCCTTGACTTCCTGGAAATTTAACAGAAGAGAGAGGAAGTCATGCTCCTGTTTTTTCACATAGAGATAGATGTTCTCTTTTCAGTTATATAAATATATTCGTTATGGATCTCATGTGGGTTTTGTTTTTGTTTTTTTCAACTTTAGGGAGATATGTCAGCTGTTTCCTGTGCTGACTGTCAGACATAAGTGGCATTAATCTTATCACATAAGAGACAAAACAGAAAAGGTGAGAGCAGTTTATAAAACCCAAAACTGAGAAGTTGCCTCAAGCAAGGGAGTTGCAAGGAAGTTCAAGTATCTTGGGATATTATTCTCAGGTGACGGAAAGGTAAGAGGTTCAGACTTCCAGAAGAATCTTAAGTACAGCGGCTGCTCCATGTCAGAAGGTACTGGCTAAGGTGGGTATGGCATCTCAATAGGATGCCTCCTGGGCACTGGGGTGAAAACCCGGGGTAGTCCTAAAACCTTCTGGAGAGATTATATTTTGCGTCTGGCCGGGGAGCACCCCAGGATCCACAGGAGAAACTGTGGCTGGAGAAAAATATGTCTGGAATACTGTCACCTGATGGATGGATGGATGGATGGATGGATGGATGGATGGATGGATGGATGGATGGATGGATGGATGGATGGATGGATGGATGTTTTCCATATGTCAGTTCCCAGACAGTTACAGACCAATGTTAAAAGTAGTGGGGATGCTACAGAGTTAAGCATGACCATGAGACATGTTCCTTCCATCAAATTCAAAATGAGCTAATATGTTTCTTATCCAGTCTTGGATCAGTTTAAACATTAGATTAGATTTGTGTTTATGAGATTTGTAAATCATGTTATTATTTTTTTATTTACACTTTACACAGATTCACAACTTTTGAGGAATTGGGGTTGTATAACTGTGTGCTTTAACACTGTGGTTTTCCGTCACTGTAAATCAGGATCTCAAGTCTAAACCAGAAAACAGTGCAAGACAAGCTAGACTTAAGAAGTACAACATGTTTCAAAAACTAAGTAAAGGTCACCCGGGTGAGTTAGAGTATCTTCTTTAATTTGAATTTGAATTCCTTACATTAATACACACAGCTACAGTTTTGAACAACAACATGGACACTCTCTGAGACTGCTGAGTCATTATAAGAGTTTTGTTTCTCGTGTCTTTAACAATGTCCTTACTGGAGTTATTACTTTAGCAAAACCGAAAAGACTGGAGTCTCTCCTTAAGCAGACTGACTCCAAAGTCAGCAGTTACTTAAGTAGGAGGAACTGCAGATTTTAGCACTTCCTCCTTGGTTACACTGTTTTAAATGCTTCCCCTCTGACAAAGACCCACTGTACTGATTTACTAAATTACTGAACCCAAACAGGAAGTCATGAAAACTGCAGTTATCCATTACTCAGAAAAAAATGAAATGAAACATTTAAAGCTCAAGTGTGTGGACACAAAAATGAGTGAGAAGGTTAAGGTTCAAAGATGTTTAAGTGTATTAATTCAACTTTAAATTCGTGGACATTGTTTACATTTACAATGTAGGCTATTTACGGGAATGTGGTGTCCACATACTTCTGGACATTCTTGAGTGTAAATTATGGAAATGAGCTTGAGTAAAAATGAAAAAGCAGGCAGGCCTCACCCAGCAGAGAGGCCTTCGCCTGAGTGTGACCAACGCCAAAAAACGGTTTCCTACTGATGCAAAAATAAAAAGCAAACACTCAGCTGCTGCGATCCAAACAACCTGCAGGTCCACAGCCTGGCCTGGACTCACCGAAACCCCGCGTGGAACATGTACATCCTGGGTCCGCCGTTGTGTCCATATCTCGGGGTGCTGAACAGGAAGTCCTTCTTGATGGAGACATAGCTGATGAGAGACAGGATGAGCAGCGCCACGCTGAATATGACGAGCCCCAGCGCGCTCACAAACCGTACCATCCTGCCCCGATGGAGGAGGCTAGCCCTCCGGCCCAGAGGATCAGGAACCGGCCAGGACGAGGAGAAAGCGAGCACCCAGGCGCACCGCATCAGCGGCACGGCGACGGCGGGGGCGCGGAGAGGACGAGGCGCGCTTGACGCAGGTCTCAGAGCCCACGCGGGGAGGAAGCGCAGAGGCAGGGAGTCGGGGTTTCATCTGCTGCGTGCGAGCGGAAAAGTACCGGCGGCGAAACAGGAGTGCAGAAACACAGGAAGGCCGCCAGCACAGCAGAGAGGACGCTCACACGCGGACCTAAAAACGCCTTCCATAGATGCCGTGCAGGCTGTAGGGACGCGCGTTTGCTGCCAGTTTCATCAGCTGAGCGTGATGCAGAGAGAAAGCGGAAGAAAAACCCGCGTCACGCACTGAGGAGGAGGAAGAGGAGGGAGTCTTCCTGCTGGCGTGCAGGGTCAGATTACAGTTCATAACCTCGAGGCAGGAGATGAAGCGGCGGCGGAGGAGGTGGGCACTGCATCCTCGGCGTCTCTCTCTCCTCTTCTCCTTCTTTCTCTTTCTCTCTCACTGGCAGTGTAATTAATTAAGGCCAGGGTGTCGCTTTAAGGAAGCGCAGCTCGTGTATCTGGTAATCAGATAAACAGTTCCAGCAGCATCCGAGGCGGAGCTCCGTGTCCTGATGGAGGCAGAGATGCGGAGAGAGAGCGAGCAGGAGAGAGGAGGCAACTGAGGCGTCATGTGTCGCTCTGTCTATAGACGCAGATCTGCAGACACGTGACAACATTTCACTGTTTTCAGCTCGTGACAAAGCAGCCGTCAGTTTAGACTGAGTGTTAGTCTGCTGCTGCGTAGACTTTCAGTATTTGTTAAATAACAGAATATGTGCCTCATGAGTTTCTACGAGGGTGTTGCTTCTCTCCTCTGCTGCAGTGCAAAGGGTCACTTGAACTCGCTGTCCACTCAATGCGTCCTAAGTTTCTAAATGCATCACTGGGAGTTTTAATTTCCTTTTCTGACACACGGTCATATGCAGGACCGCATGATGCGTGGCTACTTTAGAAACCTTATGACATGAATCCCAAAAGGCTGATTCTCTTCATCTGGACGTTTTCAGTGGGAGAAACGTTTCGTGATAATCCAAGTGACTTCTTCAGTCTCAGCTGACTGCAGGTTTCCCCAATCTTATAAACAGTACATTTCCACAATAACTGAAACCAGCCCACTGAAGGAACAATGGGCTGTGAGGTCAGTTCCTTGATCATAAATATGCAAGTTGTCATGACCATTGATCAAAGACCATGAGTATCATTCACAGAGAGTTGAGGGATGGCTGCAATCACAGCATTATAAGATGGTGACAAATGTACCCTTAGGCCCCCTCCTTGATTCAGAGATGGTCTTTCCCTTTTCACATAAATGGGCTCCTTGACTCCGCGCTTAAACCAGCGTTCCTCCCTGTCCAGGATGTGTACATCCTCATCATTGAAAGAGTGTCCACTGGCCTGTAGGTGTGAATAGACTGCAGAGTCCTGGCCTGACGAGGTGGCTTTTCTGTGTTGTGTCATCCGCTTTGCCAGAGGTTGTTTGGTTTCCTTGATATATAAACCCTGGCAATCCTCCTGGCACTTAACAGCGTGCACTATGTTACTCTGTTTGTGTCGGGGACCCGATCCTTGGGGTGGACCAATTTTTGGCGCAGCGTGTTTTGGGGTTTAAAAGCTACAGAGACGCATAAAAACACACAGCTGCAGTTTTAGAAAAAGTGTGTCTCAGCTGTTCTGATACTCCTGACACATATGGGATCACTACAGGTTTTCGCTTAGGCAGCGGTTGTCCTTCTCTCCTGGATCGGTTGGAGCTTTCTTTAGGCACCTTCACAGCTTTGACAAATGTCCAGCTGGGATAACCACATTTAGGGCCTTCTTGATGTGATGTTCTTCTGCTTCCCTGGCCGCTGTCTCTCTGTCTGTGGGGATGGTGTTCGCTCTGTGTTGTAGCGTCCTGATGACACTCAGTTTATGCTCCAGTGGATGATTAGAGTCAAACCTTAAATACTGATCCGTATGCGTAGGTTTATGGTACACATCAGCTTTTAAATGTAATAAATGTAATAATTCAGTGGGCTAGTTTCAGGCATTGTGCAAATATACTGTTTATAAGGTTGGAGAAACCTGCAGTCAGCTGAGATTGAGGAAGCCTTTACACAAAACATTTTACATTTTGCATATTTTGAAATTCTGTTTCAGAGCACTACAGTGAGTACTATTCAAACTGTAATATGTTAGGATGTTACACTACTACTACTACTGATAATAATAATAATAGTTATCCTTAAGCTACAAAGTGCTTTCCAGAACCCAAAAGAAGGTATGACAATCAAAAATCAACCAAAACAACTAAATTACTTTGGCATCTCCAGATGTGCAAGGCATAAAAAAATAGTGCAAATGCAAACATTTAATATGCACATAAAGAACAAAGAATGTGCGCACAGATAAAAAAAAATAGTGCAAAGACTACAGAAGTACTATACTCCACTGTATTACACGTTCTATACAAGAACTATATTACCAGTTGATGTGAGAGAAGGAAGACAGGATAGAAGACCTGCTGTGGAAGAGAGACAAAGATTAATAAGTATGAGTGTGATTGTGAAACCTTTTTATTGAGGATGACTGTATGAGCTTGGTCACTTGTACTGGTATGTATCTGCACAATATTTGATCTTAATGTAGGTATTGTTATTTTAATTTAACACATTTTCAGAGGAAAATGGTCTCAAGAATGTTCAGAACAAAAAAGCTGGGGTGCAACTGAACTATTTTTTTTTAAGGTTTCAAGCTGAGTGAAGTGAGTCAGAATAATCTGCATGGTAGCCAGAGTAGGAGCTGGTCGGTGCTAGCTGTTTATATTACTGTCAGAGGGTCTTGTCATTGCTGTTGACGGAATTGAGATTAAGTCAGCACAAATGTTTCCATTCCTCCATGATGCAGAAGTCATCCAAACCGCTGTGTTGAACAAACGTGGGTTTTTAATGCAGGCAGAGTGTAATAATTAGCAAAGAAAGGTGCTCCAGAGCTTCCTTTATTGCTTCTTTTTTGCAGAAGATAGACTTCTTTGATGAAAGAAACACAGGAAACCCTCCCATAGCAACGCAACATCTGATGGTTCAAGAAAACAATCAACAGAACTGATACAAATCTTTATATTACACTGCGGTGATAAAAAATATTCTACTGAGGTGTTGTTTTTCAGTAAGAACACATTCATATAAGCTCTGTAAATCAAGATTGTGCGTTTTTTTTAACTGATTTAAAAGGTATTTACAGTTCACTAAAGAAAAAGCTGTGACTGTGTCACAAAAAAGATGAAGCAATGTGTTGACCAACAAAAGGCAAGTTTTAATCACTGTTCCAAGAAACAAGGAAGTCACAATCAAGCTGGTGAATAAATAAAAACACAGATATGCACAAAGGCAACTTGACAATGACAAAAAAGAAAAACAGGTCTAGAAAGGAAGCAAAACTCAAAGCGAGGCACGTACGATACTGTCAAAGTCAGAGAAAACAGAAAATGATCAAACACCCAATACACAGCAAAATCTCCAGTGTTAAATTAACACTGGAGAGTGTCTATATGGGTCCACACCTCTGAGTGTTAAATACAACACTGTTGAGTGTTAAATTAACACTTTTGACAGTGTTATATGTTTAAAAGTAACCTAGTCAGTTTTGAAGATTAACAAAGACTAACACTGAGCAGTGCTGATTTTCTAACACTGGAATATTTCTAACATTTTGAGTTATTTTCCAGTGTTAATTTAATTTAAAGTGTTAATTTAACACTCTCCAGTGGAGATTACTGAAATATAGTCAGTAATGTGTGTAATAGTCGAATCACTGAATAACTTTGAGGTTGTTAAAGCAGGCCTGTTGTTCTGTTAATTTAATATTTTCTTTCCGATAGATAGGTGGTGCATGATCACATTAAACGTGGTAGGTTCAGATAATGTGTTTATGTAAGGCCCAGTTTAAGCTAAATAAGGAATTTTTTTTTAACTGAATCATGCAGTTAATAGCAGATCATGCTATCTCTTTATCCACATTTCAGCGCAGCCTTATAGGATTACAGACATAGTGTAAAGACTGGTTTAAGATCACCTCCTCTAGACAGAAGTAAAGAAACAAAGATTAGGGATTCCTCCATGTCAATTATTTTCCACCGAAACAAAGAAAGATTAGATGAGGCTCCACAAAGCCATCACACAGAGAGAAAGACTGGCTGACATGGCTGCTGGCATTTCAGCAGTGACCTTTATACTGCTATTGAAGCCTGATAGGACATAAAGCAGAGAGGGAGACAGAGAGATCCAGGCAGCGTTAAAAAGGAGGTCATCCATCTGATTGGGGGAAAAAAGACCAAGTACAATTCCACTGAAATACTTTAATTAATAATTTTAAATAGTTAATTTCCTATTAAAAAGATACAGAAAAACTAAATATTAGAAGTATACTATAAATGGTGTATTCATGTTCCACACCTAAACTACCCACTGCCAGTTTTTTGTTTTTTTTATTTTTGCTGACAAAAAAATAATGATTACAACGTGCCAACAGACACATGACATTAGTAAAGAAGAAATGACATATTTTATACAGACTAATGAAGTGATATTACCTGTAGGGTAAGGCACTTTGAATCTATCAGCAGCCCCAAACTGAACTTTAAGCTTCACCAGCATCAAACTTCTTTAAAAAAAAAAAAAGATTTTAAGAAGGGATAAACAATCCATAGAAACTAAGATGTTTTTTTTATAGCAACCAATCAATGTGTTTATTTCTGCTGTACATTTCAACATGGGGGTCTGTGGAGACCAACTCCCTTTTGGAACCAGCGTCAAGTGGCTGTTAGAGGAACTGCTGTATTCGCCACTCAAATTTTCAGCATCAGAGGTTGCCGCTTGCTATATTAGTGAGCCCTTAACATCACTTTATTTCACTGCACAGCACTGTATTATGCTTTTCCATTGATATCTTTTTACTTCCCTGCACCTTACCGCAACCCCCCCCCCCCCAAAATCCTCTAAATATAAAAATCTAAAGTAAACAAAAAGCCAACAATATTTTTTAATAGAAATTAAAGGGGGGAATTGAAAAATACTTTGATCAATGGGCTTTGATCAGTGGTTGTTGATCAATGGTCATGAGAATTTGCATATTAATGATCACGGAACTGACCTCACAGCCCATTATTCAGTCAGTGGGCTAGTTTCCACTGATGTGCAAATGTACTCTAAGGTTGGGGAAACCTGCAGTCAGCTGAGACTGAAGAAGTCACTTGGATTATGACGAAAGGTTTCTCGCACTGAAAACGCTACGTCCAGATGAATAGAATCAACCTTTTGGGATTTACTTACCTGGATGATTTGAGCATCCATGAAGACAAATTAAAAAAGAGGTTATGAGTTCAGCTAAGACAATAAGATGACAGAAGAAAAGTGTTGAGGGTGGGAGACGCGAATGTAACAGACAAGAAGTAAAGTGACACTGAAAGAGAGAAGAGGAAGAGCAATCCAGCATCAAGATACTGGTGTATCAGCTTCCAGATAAAGCAGGCCATTGGGGGGTTTTTTCTCTTCACTGATTCGCTGATTCTGTCATGGTCCTCCTTCGTCCATTTAAGCCTCAAACAGACACCAGCTGCTACTACTTTATACTTCGTCAGCAGGACATAATGTAA